CTTTCAGATGCTTTCTCTTCAAGATCAGTTTTTAAAGATTTGTATATATTAAATACTAGAAAAAAGCATAGTCCTTATAAAAGGGGAAGAAAGTTTTGGTACTCAACTAGGAAAAGAAAAATAAAACCACTTTAAAGAGTAAGAAAAGATTACTATATGCCACAATCCACCTGGAAGAGGGAGAAGGGGGGGAGTGACTAAGATTCACAAATCCCCTCGATGTAGACTAGGTTGACATAACATTCAAGGTCCATACGGAAACATTAACTGTAATGGGAGATTCCCTGGAAAAGGTATTTTCTAAATGTTGGCTCTCTCACAGTTATATCTACCTAAGCTATGCGGCTTTAGCAGAAATCAAGGTAGGTCTTGAGTCACTTAACAACATCAAGAGAGAAGAGGGATAGAGATAGAGAGGAAGAGAGAGTGAGATCTCACCAGTCATAGATCCAGCACTGGATCTGCCAATGGGGTTATTGGATGTAAAGAACCCCAGAGACTCATACATGCCCCTATTTACTGTCCCCAGTTCCTGGATTTCTGGAACCTTCTCTTGCCCCAGTTTCAGGAGTGGCTGAGACACCTGTCAAGCCAAGACAAGTGACACCAGGCTCCTCCCTGTAACTTCCATTCTGTCTCTCGGGGTGTTGTCTCTGCTCACAGCACACCTAGTTGGGGCTCATCCCTTATACTGTATCTGCAGAAAATCCTTTCAGGAGCTACTTTTTGTGGTGACAGCAATAGCCCAGCCTCTGCAAATGCCTAAACCTCAGATTTACATGGAGGACTCCTGCATCTATCTGATGGCCCAGGAATAGCATTCACCATCTGATGTTAGAGGGGAAACTTTGGGAGAGAAGCCCTGTCAACTTGTTAAGACTCAAAGCCTTAAATAGTAGCATGATGGTATCTCAGTGGAAGTATTAATTTTTAATGTTCTTCAAAAGGGAACCAGCAAAAAAGAGAAAAAAAAGCCCCCCATAAAACTAGGCAACGCAGACTGAATCAGTAAACTCTGAATCATGTAAACTAATTTTAAGTATATAGTTTTAAAGAGAATTATAAAATTTTTAAAAAGTAACTGCAATTTAGGAAATGTCCTCAACTGTTGTAAGTTAGCATATTTGCACTGAAGTCCCTAGACCCATGCAAAGAGAGGATGAGTTTTTACCTATTTATGTTTAAAAACGCATAAAATCTTTCCCAAGCCACTGAGTAAACGAATATGCCTTTTTCCAATTTTTAAACAAACATTTTTATTTTCTTGTACCCTAGAAATCCTTTTACCCTAGAACCATTAGTTGTTATGAAACCTCTGTAAAATAAAACATAGGAAAAGTTGCGTAATGACTCATTATATCCTTTAGTTACCACCACCTCCAGTCTTCCTCACCACCATTCCACTCCCTCACTGCAGAAAAGCAAGAGCTAGTACTGACTTCTGTAAATTAAGAATATAGCCAGGTGTGGTTCTGCCCCAACAAAGCAGCAGCTTAATACTAGTGCAACTTTTTTGACATCAGAGGAGCTATACAAGCCTAAAGCTGGTGCAAAGGAGTGGAGTCAGGTCTGGCATTGCTACTTCTCCTACCACCAATGGTGCCTGCTGTGACAGAGAGTTCGCAAGATGTTGTTTAAGAACTAAAGGACAGATGAGTCCCTGTTCAGAAGTGGGCAAGGCCAGAGAGATGGAAATCTGGCACTGAAGAAAAGAAGCAGTTTTTTAATGTAAGCCATCCAAATGTTTCTTTTTAACTTCTGCATTCTCTTGTCTTCATTGTTATAAAAGAAAATGAAAACCATGATACTATAGGAAACTCAGAGATGCTAGCCTAATTCCAGTACTATTCACACCTAAGTCAGCCCTTATTTTATCACACTTAAATTGATACAATCAACTTTATCACAATTAAACATATTACCAAATATTCTCCCAATGAAAGCAATTAAATATTCACAAGTAGATTTTTCCTTAGCTGCTTCATCCAAAGCTGACCTGACAAGTGACTCTATTTGCCTAAATAACCTACAAAGCTTCTTTCTTCCTCTTTGATTATCCAAAGACTGACAAGAAGACTCCAAAACCAAACACAAAGCGTACATCATTATAGAAGAATTGCAAACACTAGGTATCACTTAAGAGGACATAGTAAGAAAAAGAGATGACACTAAATTGGTGGTAGGAGTTTTTTTCAGCAAGGTGTGAACCGGCTCCTACTGTCATTTTTCATACCTCTAACATTTACCATTGTTGTTTTTCATACCTCTAATATTATAACATCAGAATAAGAGCACTAAGAGTTTCCACAGTTAAGACAAAAAGGGCCTCAAAAACAGTCAGCAATGCCACCAAGTTATGCATCCCCAGTTATAATACCTACGCATATAATACAGACCTTCTGATTTCAGAGAGAAACCTTGACAAACACTATCTATTGCAGTTCAGATTCCAATATGCAGATAAACAAAAGATGGTGAAAATGTAACAATAAAACCCGCAAATATTTAAGGTATGAGAAAAAATTATTGAAAAAGTATAGATGTGTTGTGGTTTTAAACCCAGCTAGTGGCAAACACCACACAGCCACTTGCTTACCCTCCCCCATTCCAGGGATGGGGGAAAGAATTAAAGGAGTAAAGGGAAAAGAAACTCATGGGTTGAGATAAGAGCAATTTAATAACTAAACTACAACAAAACCAATACTAATAATGATAACAGTTATATGTATGAATATACAAATGAGTGATACACAGTGCAGCTGCTCACCACCCGAGGACCGGGGCTCAGCCTGTTCCTGGCTAATGATCTCAGAGCAAGGAAGAGTCCCAAAACCCCAATCCCGGTAAAGAGACAAGAGGCTGAGCATCCGAGAGCTGACTGAGAGAGCAAGAAGACCCCAAGAGAGGGGAGACCCAGAGAGAGTGAGAGACCTTCTGGACAGAGCTTCATCTATATTCTGAGCATGACATACATGACACCATTGGCCAATTTGGGTCTCAATCCTAAACCTAATGTTGAATCCTAGGCTAGCAACTGGGGCTGTGCTGCCTGACAGCTTCTCCTGCACCTGCAGACACTGGCACAGCAGGGAGGCTGAAAAGTCCTTGGCTGTCCTTGGCAGCAACTCTAAACATCGGCATGTGATCAGCCTTTTTCTCAGCACAAATCCAAAACTGAAATCTAGCCAAAACAAGGACAAAACATTATCAATATATTGTTAAAAAATCTAATCACCCATCCCTAAAAATACACCAATATAAAATAATAGGATTTTCAGAGTCTTGTTTGTCACCCTTTTACAGTGATATTTTATATGGGCATAGGCAGATGACATGGATGAATGAGATTCAAATGAGATAAGAATCATTAAGTTTGCGTGGACATGCGACCTGGACACCAGCACTGCTCTACCCCTTCCTATTATTTGCTATAGCTGGATGAATCAATTTAGTGCATTCTCGTTCACATAAGAACAATGGCAGATCTACTTGCCCAGCCTTACTCACTTCAAGAATTAACTATTTTCCAAAAAAAATATCTAAATTCTTCTGCAACCCTTCAATGAAAGTTTACTGGACATTATTATTTGTACTTTTATCACTCTTTATGTTCACTAAGTGGCAGGGTTTTCTCCTCGTTGGCCAGTCCCCAAGTTAATGTTTGCTAAGTTTCGCCCAGTTATACACTACACTATTTTGTAGTCTTCTATAGCATGTCTCTATGGCATGCCCTATCAGTAGTCCAGCCAGTCCATGTTCTTCCTACAAATATAGAAACAAGCTTTGTCAGGTCCTGCAGACCTGCTCTCTCATTTGAGGCAGAATAAACTCTTCGATCTGGGATGATTTGCACACATGGTGGTAAAGTCTCAGTTCAAAACTCAATAATCACAGCTAACCAGTTCTGTCCCTTGCACATTGCTCACTCCTGCAGATGAGAAGTAGGTTACAGTTAGCAGAGAGGCCCTTTAGCTCTTCTATAACATCAATAAACTTCATCCAGGAGGCGTTCAAACACCTCTTCACAATGTTTAAAGATGCTTTTGTAAACTTGGTACCATGATCCATGGAAATGTTTTCCTTTTTTTTTTTTAAATAGGTGAATTGCAGAAGATGAGGTCTCTGTGAAACAGAATAAAGTAGAATTGGACCATCTTCCCGCACCAAACAATTGATGTCATGCCGCTAACGAAAACTTGTAAGTTCATGAAAAAGAAAGATATTTTGCTTTGCCTGAACATCTCTTTACCTTTTTTTTTTTTTTGTAGTGAGACTATCAAGAAAGAATTATGGAATTGTACACAGGAAAATAAAAAGGGCTGTGAACCTGAAGCAGAGATCATCTGTTACTTGTGCTAATGACTGCTTAGAAAGTACACATTTTGAAACTCCTTTTTATTCTCTCAGAGAATCATAGGGGGGTTATCTTTAACAGACATTGTTCAGACAGATACATAAAGAATATCTTCTTTCTCTAGAAGTTGTTATCCTATCAAAGGAATAATCTTTAAATACTCCGTGTCATTCACTTTAGTTTTTTAAGGCTGACAACTTTTTGAGTAAAGTGCTCTCCCATTCACGGGAGGTGTAAGCCCATAACTTGAGGATTTTTTGGGGTTTTTTTAAACAGCTTGCAGTGTTAAAAACGAACTGGTGAAGAGGTGGACATACAGGGACAAGCTTTGTGAATCTGTGTAGCTATGCTGATGTGACAGTTTTACACCAGCTGAGCATCTGGTCCTTACAGTTATGAACAAGAGAGAATTGGCTTTTCATGCCCTTCGTGGCAAGAGACATTTAAAGAGTAACAGCTGTTCCACCTTCCCTTGGCTGATTTGGACTTCTGATTTTTTTATGAATCCACACAATATGCCTACCCAAACACTATACATATTTGCAAATGACCTGCTACATAACAATTTTGCCCGAATTTATGGTCAATTTTTGACTGCATAAACACATATACTTTCATTAACTAATATACAGGTAGCAGTACTTACCTGTGATCTAAATGATGAATAGAGAGAATAACCCCTGAATTCAAATGGACTTGTTTTAAGGTCACCAGGATTGTGAATTCATATTTATTTCTTAACTTCTGAAAAAAGATTTCTGCTGTTTCTGGAGATGCCTTGACACTTCTTGAAGTATCTAAAAAAACATAACACAAAAACCACACAGTATAAAATCTTATTTTGCTTTACGTCCTCAACTCAAAGATTTTACAAATAACAAGGTACTTCTGAGTACCACAATTGAACAGGCAGTTGAAAGCAGAAAGAGAACACATTTTCTAGGACACCTATTCTATTCTGGGGTGGGGGTGTTTTGTTTTTAACACAGGGTCATAACTCTTACTTTCTCCATGGATGGCCAGATGGTACCTTCAATATCTCGTCCAAAACATGGACTCAGTAGCAGTGAAGCACACAGTGACAACACTGGATATGAGCCTAAGCTGTGAAGCGCGACCTGAGCAACTTTTTAATGACTTCTACAAAAATGTTATGCTTAAAAGCTATGATCAACCGAAAATAAACAAAAACAAAAAAAAACAAAGAGTAGCATCTCTTCAGGGACAATTTACTGAGCTTTAAGTAATAGTTATAAATTAACTTTAAAACTCACCATCTTTAAATATATTGTCACTAATAAATCACTATATATTCCAGTTGTGCAGTATGTTGCTACTGCTTCTTGCACAGGATGTCATGAACATTTGTTAGAGTAATTGCACACACATGATCAAGATTTTGCTTTTAAAAACCCACACATAGTCAAGAGTGAAGCAATGTTTCTTCTGAATTTGCATGGAACATGTACAGAAGATAAAAAGCCCCAATCTTAAGATCTCTTCAGAGATAATTTACAAAATAAGATGTCAAAAGGTAGAAAAACAATTCCCAAGGTCTTCCATAAGATATTATACCATAAAAAAATTAATATATACTTTTAATCCATAAAATCAATTCATTAGCTTGTGTAATCAACTGTGTAGGAACTAAATCAATTCACAAGCTTCTTGTCATTGCAGTTTGACCATCCTGCTCTAACTCAGGGACACTCATTCAGGGTCAGCAACAGCAGCAGAGAACTAAGTGCAGTAAAAACAGTAATTTTGTTTTGGCAGCACTGGAGCTGAGCTGTCAAATAAACTTAAACTGCTGTTGAGAGAAACTGGCTTATTCTATAAGCTATACCTATAAAGATGCTACTCTATTACAGCAGTTTATTGTGGTTTATGGACAAGGAATATTTTTAATAAGTGTTTAAGAAATACAACAACCTGTACAACCCTGAAGTCCTAACCAAGCTCCTGCACAGTGTCACACCAGACTGCATTTGATTCATTTTTTTACAAAGAGGAATCCAAAAGACCAAAAAAAAAAAAAAAGTCTTTAAAGCTTTTTTTGTGAAACTTCACATCTTTTCTACTGTGGATTGTGTAAGTCTCACTGTAGCTGACATCCATATTTTAATGGAATTGTTAATAAATCATAAGGCAACTCAAATCAATTACATCAAATTACATCAAATCAATTACAATTACATCAAAGCATTCATTTTTAGCCAAGGGACACTAACAGATTGGAATGACATAGGTTTGCATGCTGGAAGATAGTTTAACTGCATTAACAATTTCTAGCAATATAAACAATCTACTCCCAAGAGACAGAGCAGAGAAAAGACACACAAGGAACATATTCTCTAATCACGACCACAGGATCCTCATGCACTGCAGTTCTCAGCAGCAGCTTTCCTACCAAGATACAGAAGAACACAGGAAAAATACAGATGTGAAACCCACTTAAAAGCCTATAGAGTCCAATTCCAAGATGCAAAGCACATCCTCCAACCCTGTTTGCCCTGAAGGGGAGCTCCACAACAGTTTCTCAGCTTAGAAAGCCCAGACAACATCCTTTTCTACTGCAGGTTCATCATCACTAGAGCATTTACAGAGTCTGGTTTTGGGCCTACAAACACATTACATGTTTACATTGAAACGTGTTTATGCTTTAAGTCTTTACAGTGAAATCTCATTTTGATTAATGACAGAAGATCTGACGAGGTATCACCAAACTATATTTGTGTGCTTGTTTGCACAGTCTGCTCAGAGGGGCAGAGCTTCCCTGCCTGAAGGGCTTGCAGACTCAAAAGCCTCAGTCAAGACAAGCAGTGCAACTTCAAATAAAAGTGGGAGAACAGAACCCAGAGCAAGCCGAGACCCCTGGAATGTGGGAAATCTTCTTGCTTTTATATCTTAATAATTGTTACTACTTTGTAACAATTCTCTTGTCCCTCCACCAACCTTTTATATTTCTTTTAAACTTCCTTGGTACAGATATTTCACTTTGACTTCAGCAGATTATGAGATTAAAGAAACCAAGCCTATAGAGTATACACCATGAACATCCTATGCTTTTTTAGCTACATTAATTCAGGCTGGTTCCCCCTCACCTGAAACATTGCAGAAGCTGCCAGGAGGAAATGGAAGGGCAGAGGAAAAGGGCTATGAAGATTACTTGCACATCATCATCTTTCAGCTCCCTACCATTTATACAGGGCTGATAAAGCACACATCCATGTGAAGACAATAGTGAAGACGCTGCACAGGTCCTTCATCCAACAGCTTCTGTGTCTGGTCATTTCAGTCTCACTCTGATCAAGAGAGTGAGCACACAGGAATCTATAGAAGCATTAAGGTACTGAACAGATACTACCAATTTCCACGGATGTATATTGGAGTTGGACACACCATATTTATGGTTTA